GATCTTTTAGGGGACACACTTAAACCATATCCACATCATAGCAACTTTACAAAAAGGAACTTTTATAGTCCATTCTCTTCACTGTATATTCATCAAGATCTAGTTCCTCTAAATTTGTGTTGTTAAATTTGTTTGTTTGTTTTTGACAGACCATTCTGAGTATTCAAAAATTATTGATATTTGACACCTTTGGGGGGGCTAATTAAAAATATTATTAGATTTTTTTATTTGCCCTGAGGGAAAAGTAAGAGAAATCAACATCAAATGGAAAGTGGTGGTTTTTTGCTTTTTGTTTTTTTTTTTTGTTTTCTCTCTCTCTCTCCCCTTTTCTGAGATGCTGGAGATTGAACCCAGGACCTTGTGGATGTGAGGCAAGTACTCTACCAACTGTGCTACATCCCCCTTCCCCAGGATTTTTGTTTGTTTCTTTGTTTTAATTCTCCGATGTATTTGGAAACTCTCTTCACTAAAGTAGGGTACCAGAAGTAAAATATAAGTAAGATACATAGGTATGCCTATACAGTTTTTATTTATTGAGGAAAGATCTTTAAAGGCCTAAAAGCTCCAAAGTACCGTACTTAATATTCTTATATATTCTTATATGGAAATACAATAGAAGAAGACCCAAACCCATCTGAGAATAAGATCTGCTTACAGAAATACCTAAGGACACCAAGCGGGCAGTATAACTGTGGTTGATCATTTATGTGCTGTTGAATGCTGAAAATAATAAACCCAGCAAGTCATTCAATGTGAGTGTATGGAGCCTATTCGAGAGAAGCATTTTGGATTAAAGGTTTTTCTTAACTGAGCTTTTAAATATTAACTTACAATGATGAAATTGTAAACGTTATCATGTAATTTTTTTATGTTCTCAATGCTATGGTACTTGTGAATAAAGTAGACCAAAATCCCTGCTTTGTGGACTTGATATTTTATAGATGTAAAATAATGTCAATTTAATCCAATAAATAAAATTTGAATATATAAATTAAAATTTAATATATAGAAAGAGAGTGTTGGATGACAAATGCTATGGTGAAAAATAAAGCAGGAATGAGGAGGATAAGAGTGAAGTGTGGGGAACTGCAATTTGAAATGGTCTGAATGAGGAAGTAGGATTGTTTTCATTGTAAAATCCAGAAATTGAAACGTAGGGTTATATAGGTGTTGTAAATAATGGTCAAATAATGTCTCATTGACAAAGTTACATTCAAATGAAGATGTAAATCAGGTCACGGAGGGAGCCATGTAGACACCTAGAATAAGAGTGTTCCAGTCAGGGGAGCAGCCTATAAAGGGCCCTGGGCAGTATCTACCCAGCACAATTGAGGAACAGCAAGGAAGTTCTGGGTTGGCAGAGACAGGCATTCCTATCAGATGATGAGACCCTTTGTGGTTCTTCATAAAGTTTTAATGTTTACCCTAAGTGAGGTATAACCAGTGGAGGAATTAAGCAAAGGATTGTCAGAATCTGGCTGTTTCAACCGTTGTGTTGAGAACATGCCCTATCTCTTATGCCTGTAATCCCTGTGACATAGAAGGCTAACACAGGAGGATTGCAAATTTGAGGCCAGCCTTAGCAACTTAGTGAGACCCTGCCTCAAAATAAAATGAGCAAGGAATATCACTCACTGATAGAGTGCCCCTGATTTCAAGACCCAGTACTGAGGGGGGGAAAAAAAAGGAAGAGAAAGATAGTGACACTGACACTATCAAGTAGTTGTTAAATTGATTAATTATGTAATATATTTAAACATCAAAATTTTTTTCTTTGTTGCATCACTAAAACTATTATTAAAAAGTTTTATTATGGTCTGGGGCTATAGCTCGGTGGTAGAATAGTTGTCTACATGTTCAGGGCCCTGGATTCAATCCCCTGTGGGGGGCGGGGGGATAGGCTTTGTTCAGGATTTTATTAAATGGCTTCGTTAAATTTTTTCTTCACTTGACCTGTAGGCTAAGCAAAATAGTTTTTCTGATAACCTCTTTATTTATAACAAACATACTGAAATTGATAGGCTATTTGGTGAAAATTTTCTATACCCATCAGGTTTAGCTTTACCATATTTATCTAACTGTATAGTTCCTGTGTGTGTGTTTGTGCACACAAGCGTACAATTAAATGCAGGGGATTAAATGTGGGATCTTGTGCATGCTTAGCACATATTCTTTTTTTTTAATATTTATTTTTTAGTTTTAGGTGGACACAATATCTTTATTTTATTTTTATGTGGTGTTGAGGATAGAACCCGGGGCCCTGCACATGCCAGGCAACCATGCTACTGCTTGAGCCTCATCACCAGCCCAGCACATATTCTTACCACTGGGCAACCACTTAGCCCATAGGTGTTTTGCCATCTAAGTAAGTGATTATTTGTTATTTTTGGTGAACTATTTTAAAGTAAGTTGTGGACAGAATGATTCTTTGCAAGCAGTTCCATCACTTTTTTTTTTTTTTTTTTTTTTGAAGATGAGGACATTTTCCTACATTAAGTACTATAGTAAATTTTGGCCCCTTTGGGGTTATTAAATTTTTCATGAAGAAAGTTGGAATGAGCGTGCACATTCAAGAACCAGTAAGGGTGCTGGTCATGATGCACATGCCTGTAATTCCAGTGACTCAGGAAGCTAAAGCAGGAAGATCACAAGTTCAACGCCATCCTTGTCAATTTAATAAAACACTAAATAACGAAGTGAGTCCCTGTATACAAATAAAAAGGACTGGGGATGTAGCTTAGTGGTAAAGCGCTCTTGGTTTAAATCCCCATACCTAAAAAGAACCAGTAAGGGTCTGTCATACTTTTTATCATAATCCCCATTGGTATTTCCTCATCTCAAGTATCAGGGTTTTTAAAATCTTATTACCTTTTTGCTAATGATTAGATTAACTATCTGTATCTTAATTTTAGTTTAGAGAAATTTCAGAGGTGATTTTTTGTGTTATCCTTATAATTAACTATGCTTTTGGGAAATTGAATCGCAAATAGGATGATTAGAGAAGATTCTTTTATAGTCAATTCATATAATGTCCACAGAGCTCCTTAGCCTGAAAAATAAAGGGCTTCAAAGAATACATATGGAGCCATTGTCACAGCACTGTAAAGAACAGCCCAAGTTATCATACCTAGTTTTCAAGAAGATTTAGATCTGTAGCCTATCATGAGGTTAAGAAGGTCATTCTATAATAATATTGAAAAGGTTTACTTTCTAGGAACATAAAACTCAGAAGTGACTATTAAAATTCTTGCCTCAGATACTACTCATAACTTATAAATAGCCTCACTATTCTCACCATGAGGATTTCCATAACACTATTTATAAAGTCAGGCACTTCTAAAACACCACGGGTAAAAATACACTAGGGCAGTGAACCCAAGAAAACAGAGGAACAGTATTTTATTATGAGACACATCTTGTGGAGTGGGCTTCTCTCTTCTCTTTATTACTCTTATATTAAAATGAACCTTTCAGATCTGTTTTAAAAGACATTGAAATAGAGACTCAAATTTCTGAGCACTTCTTAATTGGACAATTTAACCTTTAAGGACTAGCTAGAATTTAAGTGACTTCCTTGATTACTCATATTTTCAGGAAGAAAATGTCTTTCCTTATATAATTGCCTGCCTTTCAGGGACCATTTTATCAGATCAGGCATTTTGTTTACTCGATGTATACCTCTTTTTATTAGCAATTCAGAAGTTTTATAAAACACATTTAATAACCTCTAATGATTGAGGTTTACACATACATGAAAAAACCATTACATTGTTGGAGAGTTTGGGGATATAGTGAAGGATGCATAGTACTAATTGGTTCAAGGAGCACTATGCATAGGAAGTGCTATAACAGAACAAAGTTACACATTATTTTAGACTTAGGCTTCACGAGGAGAATGGAATTTCAGCTGAACGTGGAAAAGATGTTCAGAACGTCACTGAGCAGATTGGAGCAAGTAGTCCTTTGTGTAGAACAATGAGAACGAAGGCACAGAAACAGAAGGGAAGGTTATTTAGTGTAGGAATTAAACCAGACTGGCCATTGTACAAAGTTCAAATGGGGACATAGCAAGCCTGGCCAGAAAGGTACATTGTAACTAAGATGTTGAGCTGGAAGACTCACAGTTTGAGCTGTATATTGCTGTCTTGTGAAATGCTTAAACTTCAATATAGGGAAAGACAGGAATAGTCTCCCAGTATTGAATAACTTCCTGCTAGGCTACTCGTTCTGTTCCTCTTTGACAAGACAACATTGATTTTACTAGTAATTCTCAAAACTTTTGATCTTAGTTGTCCTTTATGCTCTTCAACAAAATTTAGGAGTCCAAGGTGCTTCAATTTATGAAGATTATGTCTGTTGATATTTACTATTTTAGAAATCAAAGGATTACTAAAAGCATTTACAAGCACATGTTCCTTTAGCCATCCATCCATTGGAGCGATGGCTTCATAAAACGTCAGGTAGCCTTTACACATTTGTGAAAGAATCAAACTGAAAAGATAGTAGCACCTTAGTGTTAGGAAATTTTCTTACTTTGTGCTAGGTGAGTGCTCTACCGCTGAGCCACAACCCCAGCCCCTCAGGGAACTTTATTATGCAAGCCACACCAACATCATCTCCCTATAATTTTTATTTTGTATTTCCTCTGTACCTATCTTTTTTCTCCCTAGAATGCTTTTCTGTATGCACATGCTATCACTGCCTCAGTGACATTTCTGCTTAGAAAATGTTCATGTAGTTGTCATCATTCTGTGACAAGTAGTCATACACTCCTCTGCTTCCCAACACATCTCCTAGTGCCTCTTGTGAACTGTGGTTGACTTGTTGGTTTGTATCCTCTCCAGCCAGAATGTGATGCTCTTGGAGTTTGATGAATATTGGGCTTATCAGAATTTAGTATCTAATTAAAAATTTGTTAAATATGTGCTAAGTAATTTTTTTTTTTGCCTTAAAATTTTTAGCTCTGTCCATAATTTTCTTATTTATTTTTTTACTTGTAGAAGGAAGTGAAGAAGAAAAGATGGAAACAGACCCTGAAGCTCAGCAGCCTGAAAAGGTAAGGTCTATTTGAATTGTCTTACAGTAGGAAAAACCAGAGAGAGAGCATACCTTTTGAACATAATGGTTTCAAGTTTTTTGTATTTGTTTGAATCCCTTTCAGAGAATTATGAATAGTTCTGTGAACCACTTGGATTTGTTGTTTAAGATATAGTTCTCCCAACATATGATAAGAATTTTCCACTTATTTATTTGCTGAAGATTTATGCATATCCTATCTTCTTTTGTACCCCTTTCAGACACAATTTAGAAATATGAATACAAAAGTTAGTATTGCTGGGGATATAGCTCAGTTGTTGCTTGCCTTGCATGCACACAACCCTGGGTTCAATCTGTAACCCCACAGACTTTTTAAAAAGTTAATGTTAATGGTGAGTATTGAATTTTAGTCTCTAGGTCCTATACTTGTTCCAGAAGAGAATTAAAGTCATGACATTGTTTTCTAAGAGAGTTAACTGCCAGCAGAATATTATAAAAGATTTAATGAGAAGCTGACATTTGAGGTATTTTGGGGGGGGGCGGGTTACTAGGGATTAAACTCAGGGACACTCAGGCGTGTAGCAACATTAAACCACGTCCTCAGCCCTATTTTGTGTTTTAAGTAAAAATACAAAATTTTAAGTAATACAAAATACAGACAGGGTCTCACTGAGTTGCTGAGGCTGAGGCTGAATTTGAACTCATGCTCCTCCTGCCTCATCCTCCTGAGCCGCTGGGATTACAGTTGAGGTAGCTTTTAAAGAGTGGATAGAACTATTAACAATGCTTAGTAGGGAGAGACAATAGTGTATCAGTGCAAGGAGGGCATCAAAGTGCTCAGAATGTTATTGACCTATTCGCTGTTCATAGGAAATTATAAATTCAAGGTAGGCTGGACAGAATAAGACCATATAGCCTCTTCAGGGACTGGATCTGGGTGTTTACATTTCCCAGACTGTTACAGAATATAATGGGCAGTCAGTCACCATTTGGGTATGTAAAAGCAGGGATTTAAGTCTTGATTACATGTGATATTCTTAATTTATAGGTAAGGAGGGGCTGGGGATGTGGCTCAAGCGGTAGCGCGCTCGCCTGGCATGCGTGCGGCCTGGGTTCGATCCTCAGCACCACATACAAACAAAGGTGTTTTGTCCGCCGAAAACTAAAAAAAATAAAAATAAATAAAAATTTATAGGTAAGGAGAATATAGGATAATAATAAAATGGATTGTAATTCCTACTGTGTCTCATGCTTTGTATTTTCTTGTTTTTTGTTTTTTATTCTTTTTTTCTCCCCTGAATTTCTTTTTTGGGCAGTACTGTGAATAAAACCCAGTGCTTTATATAAACATTCTACCACTGAATTACATTATATGCTCTTTTTTTTGGAGACAAGATCTTGGTAAATTGCCCAGGCTGGCCTCACCCATTTGCAATTTTCCTGTCCTGGTCTCTTAAATATTTGGGATTATAAGTTTGCATCATTTTGATGCAAACTTTACCAGGTATGATTTTATTTAATTCTTTTTTTTAATATTTATTTTTTAATTGTAGTTGGACACAATCTTTTTATTCCATTCATTCATTTTTTTAAAATCTTGTTTTTTTAATATTTATTTTTTAGTTGTAGTTGGCAATACCTTTATTTTATTTTTATGTGATGCTAAGGATCGAACCCAGGGCCTTTCATGTGTTAAGCCACAACCCTAGCCCTCATTTAATTCTTAAAACAGCTTGATCAAGTTAATGATTGTGTCTCCATTTTATAGATGATGTGATATAATTTAGGAATTTCAAAATCAGAAAATAATGCCATATTTGTCCAAGGAATTGTAGTATTCAGTTCCCAGTGCATGAACATTTGCTTTTTGGTGGCTGTCCCTAAGATCACCAACAAATGGTTAGATTAAAAAACTTTGTCACCTTTTTTTTGTTTTTCCTGGTAGCATTTCTTCCTGCTTCTAAAAGGACTGTTTTTAACTAACTCCTTATTCTCTTGTTTTTGTACCTCTTTCAGACAGAAAACAAAGTAGAAAATGAAACAGATGAAGGTGATAAAGTACAAGATGGAGAAAACGAAAAAAATAGTGAGAAGGAACAGGATAGTGAAGTTAGTGAAGATGTCAAGTCAGGTAATTTGAAAATTTCCTTAGATTTCATTATTATGTAATTATTAAAAAATTCATGAAAAAATGCAGGTAGAAATGTTTCTTCATCTATTTTGGGTTTGTATTTTAATGTAATAAATTTGCATTTGAATTTCATTCAGCAGCTAGGTACCAGTGCAGATTCTGGTAGTTTTATTTTGCCTCTTCATTTTCAATAGTACACAGATGAACAAGTTATTCAGTACCACTGAAGCACAGCCCCTATACCTGACATTTTATTATCAGTGTCATTGGTTGATATAACCCTTTTTATCTTCCTCAAGGCTTGTGGAAATACTTTGTTCTCAGTTTCTGATTTTCTTTAGACCCTAGGGGTTCCCAGAGCATTCTGCTTACTAATAAACAAATTTGTGGGTCTTAGGTTAAGTTCTCCTGAATTTTCCTTTATATCCAAGGGAACTATACACAGAACCTAGAGAAATAACAGGAAGACATTTAGAAAGTACATCTCAAAAAGTGGCAGACCTAAATGCTTGGAATGATTGAACAAAACTTTAAAAAAAAAAAAAAAAAAGAAGAAGAAGAAGAAGAAGAAAAGGGCTGAGGTGAGAGGGAACATGGGTTATGGAAATTATGTACGCTGGTAACAAAGCTTTCTGATATTTTCAGAAGAAAAGGAGACTGAAGAGAACAAGGAACTCACTGATACATGTAAAGAAAGAGAAAGTGATACTGGGAAGAAGAAAGTGGAACATGAAATTTCTGAAGGAAATGTTGCCACAGCAGCAGCAGCTGCTCTTGCCTCAGCTGCTACCAAAGCCAAGGTCAGCCCTTTGCAGTGTTCTATTACACTATGAATGGCCATATTGTTTTGAGTTAATTGGAAACATTTAGTATAAAGAGCCTTGCTCCCAATAGGAGATGACTATTTGCTTGAATGGCATTTCTAGGTTAAGAAATTCACAGGCAGGAGGAGGTTGGAAGTAAAAGGAGATCCGGTCCTAAAGGGTGACTTTTTTCATTCCATTCATTGTGTCATTTAGCCTTGTGAAGACTACAGAGATTGAAGGCAGATACTGAAATCCCTTTTAGGGACCAATTGTCTTTTTGTGATGAATTTGTCAACAGAACTTGTCTTGGACCATTGTTCAAATAATCTCTATTAGATTGAAATACTTATTATTTTTAAGACAAAAATCTTGTTTCCTTATATAAATACATCACCCTTATTACAGACTGAGAGGAGGGAGGGAACCGAAAATAGCTCTTTTTCTGCTTGAATTTGCCAGCTTTTCTGGGGGTGGTTTTTTCTATTTATAATAAAGTATCGGCTGCACAGCATATTTAAGAAGACAAGAAAATGTTACTTTTCTCCACTTCATGTTAATTTAGCATTTTAAAGTATTCCAAACATGAATATATGAAGTTTTAAAAAATCTTTTCACTCATTCTACATTCTACCTCAGAAGTAGTTTCCTTCCATTATAGGTTACCACGTTCAAAAAGCAGTGATTATAAGTATATTTCTAATCATTTTTTATCTTGAGCTTTGTAAAGGTGTTCTTTAATGCTTTTTAATTTCCTCAAAATTTTCAGCTTCTGTGAATTTTTCTGAAAATGATTCATAAAAGACCCATAGATGAACCAGTTCCAACCACAAGGCCACTGTTTTGAGTGCCCACCCATGTGGCCTATGTCCAGATGGTCTTGGGAGAATGGGTGTCTAGAGGGCAGAGTAATGTTCAGTCAACCCAGCAGTTTCCCAGCTGATATTTACTATTATAATCGTTTGACATCCCACATATTCATAGTTCCCAGGTCTTCCAAAGGTATCTTCTGATCTATATGGCTTTTAGCTCAATTTTAAGTATTCACTCTCCCCTACCACCACCAAAACAGTTCCTCTAGGAAGTTTTGAAGTATACTCGTGCTTGAGTGAGTGCTAATATAGATACCAATTTGTGTTTCATGTTTTCTAGTTTTATGCCTTCATTGGAAACACTGTTTATGTCTCTTTGTCTTTTCCTAGGTCTGTTTCGTCAGCTTATCTCTGAGCTGAGTTCTTATTGTTAATGCCGTTACCAGAGTTCTTAGAAACTTTAAGGATTGTCTTGGGCATATTCTTTCCTTTTATAGATGAGATGCTAGATGCTAACATGACTAGATGATTCAAGAACTTTTCTTTCTCATCTTCCAGGCCTGCAACTTCAGGTGATCTTTGATTGCTCTGATTCTTTTATCATTCCCTGTCTGATCAGCTACCAAATTCTTCCTAGCCCTCTAGGTCATCTGTTCATGTCCCACCCTCCCTTAGGTCAGCTTCCCTTACTTTTATTTTTTTATTTTTTAACCTTGGTACTAGTAATTGAACCTAGGGGTATTCTGCTCCACCACTAAGCTACATCCTCTAGCACTTTTATAAATTATTATTTATTTAAAAAAATTTTAAGTTGTAAATGGACATAGTATCTTTATTTTTTATTTGTTTATTTTTATGTGGTACTGAGGATTGAACCCAGGGCCTAGTAGAGGCTCTAGAGCTAGCTCCTGAACAGATAAGGTAGCATGCTTTCCCCATCCTGGCTTACCACTGAGCCACATCCCAGAAAGTAAAGAAAAATTTTTTCTTTACTTGTAGATGGACACAATACCTTTATTTTGTTTGGTTATTTTTTAATTTTGAGAAAGAATCTTGCTAAGTTGCTTAGGACCTTGCTAATTTGCTGAGATCCTAACCTCAAACTTGGAATCTTCTTGCCTCAACCTTCCAAGTCTCTTGGATTACAGGCATGCACCACTGCAACTGACATGGAACATGTCCGTTTTTGCATTGCATCCTACTGATACCTGTGACTTGCCCCACTGAAAGGAGGGGCATGAGACTGGAAGCAGGAGCGCACTGACAAGGTGCTCTCTGGTTCCCTTCCATCTGGGTCTTCAGGCTTAAAGGAATGACCCTGAACTATACTGCTTTAATAACTTCCCTCTCCATCCGTTTAAAATTTCAGAGTCTTTAGTAGGGGTTCAGAATTTCTTTGTGATCAGAACCCTTTATGGTTTTCAAGCCTGTTTTCTTTTTCTTTACTTTTTTTTTAATAATTTTTAGTTGCCAATGGATTTTATGTCTTTCTTTATTGTGGTGCTGAGGATTGAACCCAGGGACTCACACATGCCAGGCAAGCACTCTACCACTGAGCCACAAACCCAGCCCAAGCCTGTTTTCTTAATGTGTACCTCCTGTATTATTTTCTTTATGCCATTCTGTTAAACAGAATCATGTTTTAACCTCTAGCTTCCCTCAGAATATGTTTCTTTTACTCTTTCCTGTTATTTCCTCACTCTATATCACTGTGCTGTGGCCTTAATTCCTTGCCTGAGAAGGAATTAAACTGGTAGGCTACTTTGAAAAGTTTCACAAATACCTTGTGTTTTTCTCAGATATCACAGCTATTTAATATCTGCAGCTTTGGGCACAGAAATGCATTTAATAGGCACTACTTACTGACCATCTTACAACTCTTTGAATTTTTTACTGCATAGAAACTACCTTTATGGATCATTTGGCTGAGGCCTTCACTATTCAGAAAAGTGTCTACAGAATGCTGTTTCCCCCTGAGATAAAATTTTATTCTGCTCATATTTCAAATTACTAAAATGTTATATTTTTCCCCCCACCCCCGTACCAGAGATTGAACTGATAGCCACATCCCCAGCCTTATTTTGTATTTTATTTAGAGATAGGTTCTCAGTGAGTTGTTTAACACTTCGCTTTTGCTGAGGCTGGCTTTGAACTCGTGATCCTCCTGCCTCAGCTCCTGCCTCAGCCTCCCAAGCCACTGGGATTATGGGTGTGCACCACCGCACCTGGCTAGATTTTCATTTTTATTATGTTTCCCTCTGGTTTGTGAATGTACTATACATGCTTATGCTATATAGCTTGGCACATGTGAGCTGTTCTGTACCTCTTACAGCTGCATCTGATATATCTCACAGCACATAATCATTTTTGTACTACATGGTAATCAGAGGGTAAGGAATTCACTTAAATTACTGTAATTAGTATAACTTAGCTAGCCAATCTAAGTTTCAGTTACTCTCTTAATTGTATCTATAAACAGCCTTATTATTATTAAGAGTTTGTCACCCTCTGACATGAAATGATAATTAGTCTCTACATCGAGCTCCTGAACAGATGAGGTGGCATGCTTTTCTGGTTTCTCCCCATCCTTACTATAGGAGATGCTCTTCAAGAATATGTCCATTTTTGCATTGCATCTACTGATAAGTTGTGAATTGTGCCACCTGAGGAAGAGTGTGTGAATGTAAGCAGGAGCATCATTAGTTAGGTCCCTTCCATTGGAGTGTTTAGACTTAGAGGAAAGGAAGGGCCCAGAACTGTTCCTGGAATAAACTAGAATTACTAGAACATGTACGCTGCACGGGCGCACTCACTCACTCTCTCTTTTTCCAACAACAATAGATTCAGCTCTTCCAAGAAAGCAGGAGACCATGTTTCCTTAAAGTCACATACATTTCTTTCAGTTTTATTCACAAACCACTCCATGTTTTACATCCCTAAATTGGTGAAAATAGGTGTTGGCTCTGGGGTAATACAAAGTAATTTTCTTAATATCTCAGAAATATATCATAATTTGCTCATTTACATCTGAAATTTCTTCTGGAGATAGGAAAGTCAGCACTGTATTTGAGTTCCAAGGCCTTAATTAGAAAGTGTTGATTAAAATTGATTTACATTAAATATATTGAGTGTTGATATCATATCTTTACTTGATAACATTCTAGAGAAAAAATTGAACTGTTTGACTATTTTGCCTACAGTTAGCCCTGTTCACTTTCATCTCTATATAAGAACTACTTCTATTCTTTGGTTACAATCCATGTGTTATATAAAGTTCAGCTTAACCCTTTTCTACCCAGGTTACTATTTTCTTCTTATTAGTCATTTCTTGAGGCTCTGGCTCCCATATTTCACATTTTTTCTGTGGCACACTCCCAGACCTGATTGTTCTTCTCATGAAGTGTTATGGCCCTCCTTGTAGTCCTTTTTATTTTTTATTTTGAGATAGGGTCTTGCTGAGTTGCTGAGGCTAGCTTCAAACTTGGAATCCTCCTGCCTCAGCCTCCCAAGTCACTGGGTTTACAGGTGTGTGCCAGTGTACCTGGCTTCAAAATAAAGTTTTTGAAAAGGGCACAGCATGTAGTTCAGTGGCATAGCACTTGCCACACATATGCCAGGCTCTGGGTTCAATCCTCAGCACCAAGAAAGAAAAAACTGGGTTTGCTGCCAAGTGACTTTCAAAAACTTTTGGGATTTCTATGTATAAAATGTATATTCTACCAGGAAAAAAGCTTCACCTTTATTCTCTTTCTTTTTATCCTTCTCTAATTTGAAGGATTTAGGAGTGTCCTGGCTTTAGTAATGCTGATGCAAAGAAGCTTAGAGATGACACAGAAAAAGTTTAGAGGAGAATTACCAGAAACAAACATGCCAGGATAATGATAGCAATGAAGTAGATAACAGAAGAAGGGGCAGTTAGTCTTTCCTTCTTTTTTTTTTTTTTTTTTAAGAGAGAGAGAATTTTTTAATATTTATTTTTCAGTTTTCGGCAGACATAACATTATTTATTTTATTTTATGTGGTGCTGAGGATCGAACCCAGTGCCCTGCACATGCCAGGCGAGCCTGTTACTGCTTGAGCCCCTAGATCACTTATTCTTGAGAAGTGATTAGAGCCTTGGCTGGAAAGACAAGTGTTTCAACATATAGCTGATGCAAGTTCCAGAAGTAAAGAAAAAGTGAACAA